GGAGCTGGGATTGTCCCCAAGGAGCTGGGACCATCCCCGTGGAGCTGGGACTGTCCCCATGGAGCTGGGACCATCCCTGTGGAGCTGGGACTGTCCCAATGGAGCTGTGACCATCCCCATGGAGCTGGGACCCTCCCCAAGGAGCTGTGACCATCCCCACAGAGCTGTCACACTCCCTGCGGGGTCTTGACCATCCCCAGGTAGCTGTGATTATCCCTGGGGACCTGCGACTGTCCCCACTGCCACCCACACAGGACCATCTCCAGGGAGCTGGACTGTCCCCATCAAGCTGTTCTCCTGGGCTCTAACAGCCCCTGTGGAGCTTTCCACGTCCCTGGAGAAGGGGACAACCCCACGGAGCCACGAGCAGCCCCCTGGAGCAGCGACTGTCCCCTCGGGGCCACGACGGTCCCCACAAAGCCACGACAGGCGCCGGGACCCCCCCCGGCCCCCGAGCCACGGGCAGCGTCACCTACCAGCCCTTCGGCGCCGGGGCCCAGCGAGGTGACGGCCAGGTCGTTGCCGTTGGGGTCGAAGGCGTTGATCTCGATGCCCCAGTTGTTCTGCGGCTGCTTGAACCAGTTCTGCAGCACGTGCTTGAAGTCGATGCTCTGCCAGTGGCCCACGCGGGAGTTGAGGTCGATCTTGAGCGAGCGGATGCGGATGTGGCGGCTGCCCTCCTCCGTGACGGGCTTCAGGCGGAGGATCTGCAGGTAGACGGTGGAGGGGTGCTGCACCGGGCGCAGGTACACCCACAGCTGCGCCTTCACCACCTTCGTGAACATGATCTTGGGGCTGAAGTTGAAGAAGCAGCAGTGGGGGTTGCCCTCGATCTGCACCGCGGGGTCGGCTGCGGGGAGAAGGAGGCGTGAGCGGCGGCGGCACCGGCCGGCCCCCGCCTGCCCGCCGCCCGCGCGGGCTCCTCCTCGGTCATTAGGAGCCGAAGGGCCGTGCGGAGGTCGCCCCAGGGGTCATCTCCCCTCCGAGCCGGGATGAGGGCGCCGGGGCTGCCCCCTGACCCGCGTCGCCAGCGAGGAGGGAGCCCCGGCTGGCCTGCCGAGGGGATGCCCTGGGGACTCCACGGGGATGCCATGGGGATGCCATGGGGATGCCATAGGGATGACATGGGAATGCCGTGGGGACACAACAGGGATGCCGTGGGGATGGCATGGGGATGGCATGGGGACACCACAGGGATGCCAGGGGATACTGTAGGGATGCCATGGGGATGTGATAGGGATACTGCAGGGATGCCACAGGGATGCCACAGAGATGCTATAGGGATGTCAAACGGATGCTACAGGGATGCTACAGGGATGCTACAGGGATGCCATGGGGATGCCATGGGGATGCTATAGGGATGCCTTAGGGATACTACAGGAGTGCTACAGGGATGCTGAAGGGATGCCATGGGGATGCCACAGAGATCCTATAGGGATGGCTTGGGGATGCCACATAGATGCTTGGGGATGCCTTAGGGATGCTACAGGGATGCTGAAGGGATGCCATGGGGATGCTACAGGGGTGCTATGGGGATCCACAGAGGGCCAGCAGCCTCTGCCCTCCTGCAGCCCGGGCTCCTGCTGCTGCCATCACCCCGACAAGCCCCACTCCACTCGTGCGCCCAGATGCGGCTCCTCAGATGCCACCCCGGACGCCAAACAGTCTGTCCAGGCTGGGCCACGCGTGCCGAGTGGGAGGCTCTGCCTGGCCCCCCGGGACCCGCAGCCCTCCCCTGGCCCCGCAGCAGCACCCTGCCCGGCAGCAGCCGTTTCCCCACGGCAAACATCTGGGTCAAATTGAGCTGGGAATTTCCCCCCCCACCACAGCCTCCTCCTGCCTCCACGCACCGGTCAGGTTTAATCGCACCCAGCTGCCGTGCGGGGCCATTTGCTGCGCACGAGGCCTCCCCGAACGCGCCGGGGTCACGACACCCGCGAACGCTGCCCCGCGGCCGTGCGGCCCCCGCGGTCCCGCCGGCACCTTGCCCTGCACTGGCCGCCCCGCGGGGCTCCCGCTCTGCTCCGCTCCGCCCGGGGATGCTCGTCCCGTCGCTGTGGCAACGGGGGGATAAAGGTTAAGGGACATGGGCGGCTGCGCGCGGGGGGCAGCCGAGCCCCCTGCTCCGACGCTCTTTGTTTGCAGGAGGGTGCAGAGAAGGGGGGACCGAACCCCTGGTTCCCTGCCCCCTGAGCTGCCAGTCACCACGTGGGGGTCTCGGGCCACCCCCTGCCACGTGTGGCCCCCGGCGCCCTGCTTGGCTCCTGCTGACCTTGATTGGGGCCACTCGTCATGGCCCTGGAGGCCGGGGGCAGTTCCCTGGCGTGGGGCCTTGGCAGCACCCCCATTCCCCCGGCGCCCCTCATTAGCCGCCCCTCCAGCCCGGGGGTCGCCGGGTCACGGTAGCCCGTAAATGCTTTTAGGAGCCAATTAACCTTCCCGAGGTTCTGGTGCAGTTAAGGAGGAAGAAACAGGGGTGGAGGGGGGGGACAAGAGCTGCCGCTTTGCATTGCACCCGGGGCGAGGGGGGCGGCCAGGGCGGCGAGGGGAACCCGAGAGCTTTATGGCTCTGCCGTCCATAAAGCCTCCCCTCCTCCTGTTCAGGAACCATAAAATCCCTCTCAATTGCCGAGAGGCGGCAGAGAGGGCAGGGAGAAAAATCATAATAATAACGGTGCCGAGCAGGGCCGAGGCTCTGCACACCGGGGCACCCGGCGCAGCAGCCCGGACCTGCCCGCAGCGCCCACTGCAGCGCTTGGCATGCAGGACCAGGAAGGCAAGACCGGGAATGCAGGACTTGGGATGCAGGATCAGGGGTTGCGGGATCAGGAGTGGCAGGACCTGAGATGCAAGATCAGGGTTGCAAAGCCAGGATGCAGGAGCCAGGATGCAGGATGCGGGGTTGCTGATTGGAGTCCCCGGAGCGCTGGCCCTGCCGGCCCCCAGGCCGGAGGTGGTGGGTTGGGGGGGTCGCTCCGCTATTTTTCGCGGCGGGGGCGGGAGGAAAAGCCCCAGCGTGTTGTCAATTTTATGGGTAATAAAATTTCAAAGCCGCCCGAGTCCATTAATGCCCGGAGGAAGCCGGGCCGGGCGGGACGGCTCTCACCTCCCGCCTTCCGCCGGGGGGGCGGCGCGGCGGCCGCACAGCCTCATTTAGCGGCTCGGGCAGGTGGAGCGGGGCCGCCCCCGGGGGGAACCGCGGCCCGGCGGCCCCGGCGGCCCCGGCAGCCCGGCATGGGGCACCCGCACGCCGCGAATGGAGGGACGGATAGAGTCCCGTGACGGCGGAGCGGCCCCTCCTGCCCCCGCGACGTCGCGGCCCCGACGGAGGGACGGGAACTCGCTGGAGCCCCTCACCGCGGCCTCGGGCTCTGCCCTCGCCGGGTCCCGGCCCGTCCCCGCGACCCCAGCCCGGTGTCGCCGCCCGCCCTGGACGGGGGTCGCAGGGCAGGGGCGAGAGGCAGGGCAAGAAGCGGGTCAGATCCGGGCACCCGGTGCAGAAGCAGGCACCGGGCAGATCCGGACGCCGATGCCAGTGCCAATGCCCCCTGTAGAGTCCCCGTGCCCAGTACCTCGCCCCAGTATTGGTGCTGGGTCTCGGTAGCCCGAGCCCAGTGCCGAGTTCCCGTGCCCAGTTCCCTCCACGCGGCGCTCCGTCCCGCTGCCATATCCCTGTGCCCAGTTCCCCTTCCCGGTGCTGGTGCTCGGTGACAACTCTCTGCTGTCCCGGCCCGTCCCTCCGCGCCGAGCCGCGGCTCGCTGCGAGGCTCCTCGGTGCCCCGGGGAGTTCCAGGAGGCCCGGGGAGAACCGAGCGGCCCGGAGGGAGCCCCGGGGCAGGTTGGACAACCACGGAGGGGATCGAGGAGCCCCGGAGGGAAACCGAGGAAACCGAGCGGCCCCGGGAGAACGGGGCCACTCCGCGGGTGCCCGAGGAGTCCCGAGGGGAGGCAGGAGCCGCGAGAGGAGTTAGGAGGCCCGGGGGTAGGCGGGGGACAGGGCAGCCCAGAGGGGACTTAAGCAGCCTGGGAGAGGGAGTCTCAGGGGAGAGCTGAGCAGCCCTGGGGGGGTTCGGGGAGTCCCAGGGAGAGCCGAGCAGTCCCGGGGGAAGCCGAGCAGTCCCGAGGGGCTTGGGGAGCCCCCGGGGTAGCTCGGGGAGTCCCGGAGGGAGCCGAGCAGCCCGGGGCCGCCGATGCCTCCGGCGGCCCGGAAAGTTGCGGGCGGGGGCGGGGGCCCAGCGGGGCCAGGGCCGGGGCCGGCGGCGAAGTTTGCGGGCGCGGGCGGCGGAACAAAGGCGGCACTGACTTTCCTGGGCCATGCTGATGACGGTCTCGGTGGTGGCGTGGTACTCGTCCTCCTCCAGGTACTCGTCGTGCTGCAGCGAGTCGCCCTGGAAGTCGTGCAGGTCGAGGATCTGCTGGAGCGGCGGCGCCTTGGGCAGCAGCTGCTTCACCACCTCGCGGGTGATGTTGGGCGCTTCCTTGAGGCGCAGCTTGCTCAGGATCTGCGACTTGATGCTCTCCAGGCGCATCTCCTTGCTGTGCCGCCGCCACAGGCACACGGGGCACGCGGGCTCGGCGGCGGGGGGCTGCGCGCCCGCCGGGCCCCCCGCGCACAGCGCCAGCAGCCACAGCAGCACCGGGGCCATGCCGGGGC